TGTGCTGTCACAGTATAGGGAAAGCAATTAGGGTCACATAACAGTGTATGTATAAATTTTTGTATGAGAGACTAACTTGAATTGTAAACTTTCACTTAAAGTACAACAATAAAACAAAACAAAAAGAAAAAATAGATACATGGGATCTCAAAAATTAAACACCTTTGTACATCAAAGGACTTTATCGATAAAGTGAAAAGACAATCTACAGACCGGGAGAAAATTTTTAGGAAGCATATACCCGATAAGGGCCTAATATCCAAAATATACATAAAACTTCTACAACTTAACAACAAAAAGACAAAAAACCCAGTCAAACAATGGGCAAAGAACTTGAACAGTTACCCAAAGGAGTATTCTAATGGCCAACAAGCACATGAAAAGATGCTCAACATCATTAGCCATTGTTGCTGTTGCCGTTGTTAGGTGCCATCGAGTTGGTTCCGACTCATAGTGACCCTGTGTACAACAGAACAAAACAATGCTCAGTCCTGTTCATCCTCACAATCGTTGCTATGTTTGAGTCCATTGTTGCAGCCACTGTGTCAACCCATCTCATTGAGGGTCTTCCTCTCTTTAGCTGACCCTCTGCTTTACCAGGGATGATGTCCTTCTCCAGGGACTGGTCCCTCCTGATAACATGTCCCACGTACTTGAGACCAAGTCTCACCATCTCACTTCTAAGGAGCATTATGGCTGTACTTCTTCCAAGGCAGATTTGTTCATTCTTCTGACAGTCCATGGTATACTCAGTATTCTTTACCAACATCATAATTCAAATGCAATAATTGTTGGTGAGATTGTGCAGAAACTAGAACCCTCATCCATTACTGGTGGGAATGCAACATGGTGCAGCCGCTGTGGAAAACAATCTGGCAGTTCCTCAAAAAGTTGAACATAGAACTACCAAATGACCCAGCAATGCCAGCCCTAGGTCTCCACTCAGAAGAAGTGAAGGCAGGAATGCCAACAGAAACCTGTACACCAATGGTCATTGCAACACAATAGCCAAAAGGTGGAAACAATTGAAATGTCCATCAGCAGATGAGTGGATAGCAAAATGTGGCATAGACACACAATGGAATATTGTGCAGCTGTGAAGAGAAATGAAGGCCTGGTGCATGCTACAACATGGATGAACCTTGAAAACATCATGCTGAGCGAAGTAAGTCAGCCACAAAAGGACAAAATCCGTATGATCTCACTTATATGAAATAAGCTAATACATGGAAACCAAAGATAATTGGCGGTTACCAGAGATGCAAGAGAGTGCTTGCCTGGGGGCACTGCGTTTATGTTAATGGTGGTGGAATGTTTTGGATGAGGATAGTGATAATGGTGGCACAACATGAAAAATGTAATCAATGTTACTGAATTTTGAGTGTGAAAGTTGTGTTGGTGGATGTTTTGGTGTGTATGTTTTCATCACAATAAAAAAGAGAGGAAAAAAAAAGCAGCTACTCTATGGAGGAAATCAAATTGCTGAGTCAGGGCGCCGCATGGGGAGGTGACCCTTGGCAGATGGCCCAAAAGGCCTCTTTCTTCAGGGGCTGATGGAGCTGCATGGGAACCCCTCTCTTCAGGCCCCAGATTGGCCTCTGAAGAGGGGCTTTCCACCCAGGACCTTGGTCGGCTAGGGAGCTGGGGAGGAGATGGGGGGCTGGCTCTCCCTAAACTCCCATCACGGCCTGGAGAAGACCTCCAACCTGCAAAATCCAAACCAGAACCGTGAGCTCAGGCAGCAGGGCAGGGTGGACGTTTCAAGCCTCAGAGCAGCAGTCTCTTCCTGGGGCAGTCTTATGGGGCTCCGGCCCCTTGCACACATATTCGGTGGGGCTGGAGTGGAGGATGTGGGTCAGAGCCCTGCAGGAGGAGCCCGCCCAGTGAAGCAGGGCAGGCAGGGCCACATCCTGTGAGCACTCTTGCCTTCTGTGTTTTCTTTGATGCTCTAACAACTGAACAAGCAGCTTTTCTGCCTCTCTTGGGGGACCCCTGGGATCTGAGGGGCTGCCCCAGGCTAGGAGGGACAGCAGTTAATCTTCAGTGTGGGATCCTCAAACCTGAGTCTATAGCTGCAGTCTAGGGGGCGGGGTGTCTGTAAACTTTGTTTTCTAAAAGGAAAACTTTGGATTAGAAACACAGTCTTGGGTTCTTCAGCTGTGTAATGGGGAGAACCGACCTCAACAGGTCCTGAAGTCCAAGGTAAACCTGTTGTTGCTACTGGTAGTTGCCACTGAGTTGGCTTTGACTCATGGTGACCCCACGGACAACAGAACAAAGCTCTGCCCAGTCCCCCACGTCCACAATTGTCGGTATGCTCAAGTCCATTGTTCCGGCTGCTGTGTATTTTGAGTGCCCTCCAACATCATTCTCCAGCACTGTATCAGACGGTATTCTATTATGATCCGTAGGGTTTTTATTGTCTACTTTTGGGAAGTAGATTGCCAGGCCTTTCTTCCTAGCCTTAGTCTGGCAGGTCTGTTGAAACCTGTCCACCATGGGTGACACAGCTTTCAGCATCATAGCAACCTAGCGCCTGGTAAACCCTGACAGGAGGCAACTATGAGTGGTACAGGGTGGGTGGGGGTGGGGGGACAGCCTCAGATACTGGCCATCAGACCAGATCCGGCCCTACTGGGGCTTCTGGCTGGGTCCTAGCCCTGGTACCAGGCACTGGCTGGGTCCTGGAACACACAGCCTGGTCCTAAACCCACAGGCACCTATTTCTATCCTGGCTTTGCCAGAAGTTTGCCTGGAGCAGTCTCTACCCCGCGGCACCTCAAATCCGCACCCTACCATTGAGTCCACTCCCAATTGTCACCCTTTCCTCCGCTGGTCCAAACAGCCCTCTATCTGCGACATCGGCTGGCCCCCACTGGCCCCACCTTGCTTAATTTATTTTCCTCGATGATGTTACCTGCTTTGTCTGCCTTGAGTACCAGCTTCATGGTCTGTACTCTTTCCCCTGGGGGGGATGCAGGGAGCCAGGCTGGCTCTGGAGCCCAGCAAACCCTTGTTTACTCCACCCTGCCCAGTGCCAGGAGCCCCAGGGTCGCCGGCCCCTTCACTCACAGTTCAGGTGGGGCCCAGGTTTGAAATGATGTGAAGAGCATGGGACGCACGGCCTGGCTCTGGGGGAGCAAACCTCCTCCCCTCTGCCTAGCCCTCAGTTATCGAAGGTTCTCCCAACTCTGTACCCCCACCCCCAAGTAAACTACTCTTACTCTGTTCCTACCCGGTACAAAGAAAGGGGGTCATCAGCGCCTGGGACCCCTTCTCCCACCCCCGTTACAAGCCTTACCCTTCTAAGAGGTAGCAGCTGCCGCCCACTGAGCCTGACTGGGCATGGACGCCCTCTCGCCCTGGTGGACATCTTGGCCCCCTAAAGCTGGGCCAGCGCCCCACAGGCCCTGCAGTGGTGGGGGGAGACACAGGGCTCTTGCCCCAGAAAAAAACACTAAGCACCAGGAGCCAGCTGGGCACAAACTGTTTAATGCAAGAAAACAAGTCTTCAGTTTTTTTCTCCCCACAGGTGAGTGTGAACAAGCCACTGTCCCTTACGGTGCACCCGTGAGGATGCTGTCCCCCATCCTCCCTAACGCTGTGTGGAATGACGGGCTGCAGCCACCTCGAGGTCCCAAGGCCATCCGTGGAGACTGGGTGCAGCAGAGGCCAGGGGATCAGCATGGGGGGTGCTGGGATTCCCTGAAACCCACCCGTGGGGCGCCAGGTAGGAAGGCCACTCTGCCTGCCACAGGACCCTGTGCAATGACCGTGCTGGGACCTGGCAGCCGACCACTGGCGGGCAAGGAGGTGCCCCCGAGGTCTGTGCCAACAGCGAGGCAGAGCAGGGAACCCGGACCAACCGCTCTCCCTGGCTCAAGTTTCTTATGCTCAGCCTGGGGGTGGGGGGCGTGGGGGTGTTCTAAGGACATCTAAGTCAACTGCTGTCCTCCTCTGCCCCACAGGGGAGGAAGGGAGGAGAGGGCTTCCATCAGAAAAAGGGACAGAGGGGGGCTGGGTTTCCTGGTCCCTGGCTGCCGCTTCTCCAAGCCTCTCCAGGCCGGAGGAGCCCCGGCCCCATCCTCTTACCAGGCAGCATGCAGCCACCCCCACATCCAGGAAGACCCAACTCCCCCGAGTGATGCGGGGGGCACCAAAAAGTTCCAGAAAGTGAGAGCATGAAGGCTGAGGGGGACTACACTTCAAACAAGACGGGGAGGGAGCTGGGAGAAACCCCTCCTCAGTCAGGGAACACCAGCTCTGGGGTCCCAGGCAGGGGGCTGCTGTGCAGGGCCCCATGTGGAATGGCTCCTGGGTGGAGCTGCCTGTGGCTGGAGTGTGGGGAAGGGGAGACAAGTCACAGCGTCTGAACAAGTGGTTGGGATGTTGCTGGAAAATTCCATCAAGTATGAAAGGGTGTCATTTGAGAGAACAAAAGTTAGCTTATATATTTTTCTGGAAGACGTTTCCTCACACCCTCCTCTTGCCCCATAAAGGCAGCTGGGCCTGGCTTCTGTGATGGTGATGGCGGAGAGGGCTCCTGGTGTGTCAAAGCTAGCAGGACGCAAGAGGAAGGGCACGGCCTGTGGGAGGCCCAAGCCAGGGGCAAAGGCACGAGTACTAACCTAATTTGGGCAGAGGGCAGGGGCAGAGCTGGGGGGAAGGAAGCCACTGCTGAGGAAGCCACACTCAGTCAGAAGAAAACCGAGGAGCCTCGATGGTTCCTGTGTTCACAGCCGCAGACTGAGCCAGGCAGGCACTTCCCCTGTGGTTAGTTGCTGCCGGCACTGTGCAGCCAGGCCGGAGCCCGAGCCCGAAGGAAGGATGGGGAGAGAACAGAGATGCATGTGGGGTGCTGCCAGACAGAGCAGGGGGCAAGAAAGAATACTGCCTCTAACGTTATATATTAAAAATATCCATAGTTCTTGTGCACAAAATTCCATCATTCACATATGAGTATCACCCCTGCCTCCCCTGTTGGCCCAGGAACAGCCTTAAAAGAAAGATGGTGGTTTTCCTTTTCAAGAGCTGAGGAAGCATGGCTCAGTCTTTATGGACCTTGAGAACCGGTGACCCTTCCCTTCCCACCCCGAGTCTTGGCCTCCCCGGCCTCTGCTCGCCTAGCTCGCTGAGATGGCTGGGATGGTGGGAGGTGTGGGGGCAGGGCGGGGCCGGTCACTCGTGCCTCCGCTTGGAGGGTGGGATCAGGTGCGGGGGCAGGTCGGCGGGCAGCTCATGGCCCTCCAGCTTGACCTTGATGAGGTGGTTGGCCAGGGCAAACTCCTCGTCGTCCAGCAGCCCGTCCTTGTCCACGTCGGCCAGCTTCCAGATCTTCCCCAGCACCGTGTTGGGCAGCTTGGACTTGACCATCTCTTTCTTGGCGTTGGCCCCCGTGATCTTGCCGTTGACGGGCGAGAGGGTATAGAAGATCTCATCATAGGTGGGCTTGTCCTTGCCCACCACCCACTCAACATCGTCGATGCCCTCGCCGGCCCCCTCGCCGTAGCCGTGCCCAAAGGGCCCGTTCATGGTGCCGTCGAAGGCACCGCCCTTCACAGCCTGCGTTGGCATCTGGGACTCCTCCTGGCGCACCATCACCATCAGCCGGGCAATGTCGTTGGCCAGCATGTCGTCCACCGTGTCCAGCAGCTTGGGTTTCAGGGCCTGGAACTTGCTAAAGTCCTGCGTCTGGAGGAGTTCCTGGGGGGTGTGGGGGAGGAAGGAGAAGGGCTGGGTAGGGTGTCCCCTCCGGACCCCGTGGCCGGGGCCTGCCACTGGACCCTGGGGCTGCAGAGTGGAGTGGCTCCATCACTAACCAGCCTGGACAACTCACTTAGCCTCACCGGGCTTGGGCTCCCTAAGCTGTGAAACGGGGTAAGAGCAGGCTTCCTGGCAGGGCTGTGGCAAGCACTAACTGATGATGCTGTGGTATGTGTGGCACACCCACCCTGTCCCTACCACTCGGGTGAGTCACCCGTTCCCCTCCGCCGCGTCACTCCAGGTCCACCTCTCGACTCAGGTGGGGTGCTGCCAAGGTGATTCACCCAGTTTCCATTTTGGGAGGCCCCACCCCATGAAGCCGGGGTTCCCTTCCTCACTGATGGCCGCCAGCCCAGGCAGGCGCTCAGGGCCGTGTACCTGCATCTTGCGGAGGTTCGGGAAGTCGCCGGGGGAGATCTGATGCTCCCGCTCAATCTTCTGGTAGATCTCACCCAGGTTGTTCACCAGCTCCTTCTTTTTGCTCTCCTTACCAAAGACGTTGGGCATCTCCTTCTTGAGGGAACTGATGATGTAGGCGTGGACCTGGAAGACAGGGGACGGGAGGTCAGGCTGCCCCAGGGAAAGGCTTCGTGGGTGCTGCTCTCTGCTGAGGAACAAGGAAGCGATGAGGTGGGCTCTAGCTCAGAGTTGCTGCTTCCACCATGGGACCCCATGGGCCAAGGGGGCAGACACGCCACAGTGGCACGAGGTGTGACTGTTCACTGCCACTCGACTGCAGGGAAAAACACACTCGGAACAGAAGACATCCTCGCACAATTTATGGGGACAGTTTAGAAACAGTCAAGCGAAGTCCATCAACAAAGCAAGGACTGTTATGTTGAGCACCACCAGGCACTTCACCTAAACCCAAAACCAAACCTGTCACTGTCAAGTTGATTCCGACTTACAGCGACCCTACAGACAGAGTAGAACTGCCCCATAGGGTTCCCAAGGCTGTAATCTTTATGGAAGCAGACTGCTGACCTTTCAGTTAGCAGCTGAGCACTTAACCACTGCACCACTAGAGCTCCTGGCACTTCACATACTCTCCAGTTAATCTTCACCATGACCCTGCGGGGTTGAGTTCTCATCATTCCCCTTGTACCCATCCTAAGAGTAAGGTTTGGAGAGGTGGAGTGATTTGCCCAAGGCACTTGTTCGTAAGTGGAAGGGCTGGGGCTGTAAGGGGGTCTGCCAGCGTCCAAAGCCCATGCCCTTTCTAGGTTTCCTATAAAGCCCAGCAGAGCCCCACCCATCCAACATGCCCAAACACATGTAAAGCGCTTCCGCAGAGCTCACAAAACTCCCAGTGGGATGGAGTTATGCTCCACTTTATCTTCCTGACGTTTTCCCAGCTGTTTCCAGTTTTATCTAAGCTCCAATACCTTGCTTAGGCATTTGCCATTTAGGGGAAGCACACCCACGTCCCCCACTGAGGCCTGCTCCGCTGGACTCCCTCAGTCCCTCTGCCTGCCAGAGCAGAGCCGCCAGGGGAGCCAGGGGCCTTGGCTCCACTTCTCCCGCCTGCCGCTCTGCCCTCCAAGTCCCCTCGGCTTGCCGCAGCTGCCATCCGGGCCCCCAGCCGCGCTGGCAAATCTAGGATTTCCTAGGGACGTGGTGGCAGGCGGGTTATGGAAAGCAGCCTGCTGGGCCAGCGCGAGTCAGTGCAGACAGAGCCACTCACTCCAGGAAGAGGAAGAATCTAGAAACAACAGATGCAGGACCAAACCGGAGACCCTGGGGTTTCCCAGGCCCGGTGACTCAGCCAGCCACAGGGGCAAGGAGCGGCAGTGGCCCGAGGCTCCGGTGTCTGTCCTGGAAAGCAGGCTGAGTGAGAGCAGAGGGCCTTGCTCTTAGAGGCGGCAGGGAATGGAGCCGTCCTGCCCTGCCGCCTGGGAGAGGGCTCGGCCTCCTCTCCACCCACCGCTGCCCCCTCTGTGCAGGACGTCCTTTGAGGCCCAGGCCAGTTACACAGGTCTCCTCACGGGGTCTTGTCTGAGAACTTTACTCTGCATACAGAGCATAGGGGAGCGGGTTAAAATGCAGATTCTGATGCAGGTGGAGCCTGGGAACCTGCATTCCTCACAAGCTCCACCAGTGCTGGCCCGTGGGCTTAATCTGGGCAGAGTCAGCACAGTGGTAAAGGGTGAAGGGTCAGCTCTCATTACAGGCCAGGGAGCACCCAAATGCTACTCTCCAGGCCCCAAGACAGCAAGCAGTACCTGGGCTGAGTACTGGGTCCGGCCCGTGGACCTGGGGCTCAGCACGCCTGCAGCTCCCCTCAGCTTCCGAGGACAGAGGGGGCCACAGGAACAGCACCCACACCCCGTCTTCCTACTCATTTGCACCCCCAAGGTGGGTGCGTACTTTTCAGGCTGTAAACAGCCTCCTCTCTGTGGCGGTTTCTCCCAAGAATCAGTGGAGCACGGGGCCCCTGTGGCAGCCCTCACTGACAGGCCTGGGCTCCAGTGACAGGACGGCCCACGAGCCGAGACTGCGCCCTCAAGTCGGGTCATGAGCATCGCGTGTAGTGCTGACCAGCCTGAGGAGGGGAAAGAGCTGTGGCCAGAGCCCATCTTTTTAACAAGCGATCCCCGTGCTGAAAGTGTCACAAGAACAGCTTGAAACCTGCAAAATCCAAGTGTTTGTGCTTAGTGCTGCCCGGCTGTTCAGATGGTCTAGGCCAAATACTCCCGCCCAAAGGCTGACCGCCAGCCACACTTTGGGACGCTACCTCTGCGTTGACTTAACCTAGGAGGTTCCACATAATGGGCTGTTCCGAGTCAGACCTCCCAGAGGGACACACCTGGTTCCCTGGGCCTGAGGGCTCCACTGGAGGCGTGAATCTGAATCTCCCAGCTCCAGCCACCCTGGGGCCTCACTCGAGTCCTTGGCCAGGTACTGAGACAGACGCCAAACTCCTGAACAACCAGATCCTGCCATCGGGCACCGGGCCCCGTGCTTCCACAAAGAAGTGAGGACGGCTCCGCAGGCTCCACAAAGAAGTGAAGATGGCCCCCAGGCTCCCACAGCTTGACGTGAGTCCTCCTCTGACCTGAGCTTTGCCCCCGTGTTCTCTGGGCCTGCATCCTCGGGCCCCGTCTCTGCCTCAGCTCCCTCCTCTGCCCTGGCTCCCTCCTGCCCCAGCTGAACCACCTGTCCCCACAGGAGCTCCTCCGGCCCAGGCTGCACCCATTGGGGCAGCACCCTGTGCTCCCCCCATGACAGTACAAACACATCGAGCTTTACTGTTTGGTTAACTGTCCTGTTTTCTCCATAAGGCTGATGAGTGCCAGGAGGGTGGGACCAGGTGTGTCATTCCCCACCGTGTCCCCAGTGTCCAGCCGTGGGCCGGTACGGTCAGAGCGCAATCAGCCCGTGCAGGCTCATAGCCCAGCCCAACACCCACCTCGTCTTTGAGGTTGCCTCCTAGCTTCAGGGGTAACCTCCCATGTTATATGTTTATATACTGTCAGCATAGTTGAACCACCTCATGAAGCAGGGGCAGAAACCACAGAGGGACAGGTGGAGAGGGTGTCCAGGGGAAGCAGCTTAGTTAAGCGAAGGCAGCACATAGGGTATACACAGAAGGCAGGCTCAGAAGCAGCATCCACGTCAGACCAACCCCAAAGCTCCCTCCTGGGCCCAGCCGCCAGCAGGCCACCCCCCAGGGTCTACCTTGGCCAGCCGCGCCCGCTTGATCAGGTCATTGAGCTTGCGGAGGGCGGCGTTGCGGGGCAGAGACTGGATGTCCTTGAAGAGGTCCTGTTCCTCGGCCTCGAAGAGCTTGCGGTTGTCGGCGATGAGCAGTGGGTGGGACCAGAAGGAGCCGATGTACACCCGTACCACCTCGGGGGTGTTGATGATCTTCCCAAGGGACCACATGAGGGCCCCGTAGACCCGCATCAACTGCTGGGTCTCGATCTGGTCGGCCTTGTTCAGCACCACGCGGATCTTGTCCTCGTGGTTCTTCAGGGCCTTAATAACTTCTGAGAATTCGTCAGAGATGTCCAGCTTGTGGGCGTCAAAGAGCAGGATGATGCGGTCCACACGCTCGGCGAACCACTCCAGGACCGCTGCAAAGTCATATCCTGGGGGGGAAGAGAAGTGTGCACTCAAGGTACTCAGACCCAGGCTGCTCTGACAGAGGGCTCTTGCTTCTAACTTGGCCAGCATTTCTTAGCCTGAGAGCCTTTTCTGAATTTCCAGAAGGTACCAGTCTGGATAGCATAGTACCCGGAGGGCAGGATCACCAGGTCTCTCTTATTTCTGTACCTACCATGGTAGTACCCTCGTCCATGTAGCACCTGGCATGAGTTGGTGCTTAACAAATACCTAATGCAAAGGAAGCCACAATCTCCATGCTCTCAAGTGGGTCAGACTATAGCCAAGAGTGAAGAGGAGACCCCAACAACATGGTCCAGCACAATATCCGTGCTCGGTAGCAGCAAGAATAGCTGTCACTGCAGTGCTATGGGCTAGGCTCCCTGTCTTGCATGAATCTCATTTACTCCTACAACAGGGGTTGGCAAACTACAGCCTGGGGGACAAATCTGGCCCACCATCTGTTTTTAGAAATAAAGTTTTATTGGAACACAGCTACACTCATTTGTATTGTCTATGACTGCTTTTGGTGTCTAATGGCAGAGTTGAGTCACTGCAACAGAAAGTATTTACTACCTGACCCCTTACAGAGAACATTTGTTGACCCCGGCTCTGTAACAAGGCTATGGAGCGTTACAAGCCACTTCCCTCTCTAGGTCTTGAGTACTTCTCTAAAATGGAGTGGTTGGACTAGATAAACTTAAGCTCTAAACTCTGTTCTATGCCGTTTCCCACCAACCAATTAAGGCCCTTTGATGAACCTTACCTTCTGGGGCAGAGACTGCTAATTAGAATTCCTCCTTTAATAACAGAACTCTCTAGTTTTAGCTGAATTCATACCCAGCTTCAGACGGCATTTTTCAGCCTCCCTTGCAGCAGAAACGAACAGAAAAAGGTATATGAGGCCTTTGTCCTTTTCTCCCTTCCTGAAGACTGGGATATATATGTGATGGTAGGAGCTGGAGCAATCACATTGGGTTCAGAGATGTAAGCCGCTTGTTGAGGACAGCCATGGACTACTTTTCACATAAATTATCTGATATCTGATTTAAGCCACTGGATTTTTAGGTCTCTACAACAGCAGCTTAATTTGTATACTCTTTTACAACTGTGCCTCTTCAAGCTCTTGAGAATAAGCCAGAGAAATGATTCCTGTGGAGAGCAGTCTGGGACACTGCCCAGCTATTGACCAAAACCAATGCCCTCACCCTCACAGCCTGCTCCTACCATCCCCACGAAGAGCACCAACCACCTCTGACCAAGTTGTAGAATTAGACATGCACTCGCTAGACCACGGCGAACATAAAAATAGCAAGTAAAGGGAGGAGAATAAAGAAAAGGACAAAGCATCAAGGAAAAGCAGAAGCTGGGCCCGAGCAACCTATAGTGACACTAGGAGGGAAGCCCTCCTGTCCTTGTAAGGAACCTGTGGAGTTACTCCCAGGCACTGAGGGAGGCAGCCCGTCCCAGGGGCATGCTGCTATCTCCGGCCGAATGCATCAACAGCCCTGGGAGCTGAGCTCCCCTCAGGTCAGATCCTGGCCCCACTCACCAGGTCTTTAAGATAAACAGCTAACAGAGATGTGTCTAATGAGTAATGTTTGGTTAGACAGACATTTCACCACCAGGCTCGATCACGCTTCAGGGCTGTCTGGAAGCCTGAAGCCATGCATCCAAGCCTCTGCCTCCACACGGGGCACTCAGAAAGAACCCAGGCTTTCAACTAAGATGGCTCTGGGTTCAACTCCCGGCTCTACGCACTTACTATGTGACCTGAAATTTCTGTCTTAACTTCTGAGTTACACTTTTTATCTGTAAAATTCAAATAACAAGTCCTTCCCCAAGATGATGGGAGGGTGAGATAAGGTGGTATTGGGCTCCCAGCATAGGCCTGAGATGGTACACGTGGTCACACACCCAGGCCAGACAGGAGGAGTGATGGGGCCAGATGGGAAATCCCTGTACAAGGAGCCAGGGCCATCGGCCTGGGACTCATCACTGGTCAGGAACTGAGAGCTACACACCCATGGCCTGGCTCTGAGGTCAGAGGCGAGTGCTTGCCCTTGTGGTAAGACACGGAAACTTCCAGAAAATTCCAAACCTGCTGCTTAAGTCGACTTGCCATAGGCAGCTTCTCTACAGCAGCAATTTGCAACCCATTCCTTGCCCCTAAAACCAAACCAGTTGCCCTCGAGCTGACGCTGACTCATGGTGACCCCATGTGTGTCAGAGTGGAACCATGCTCCATAGGGTTTTCAAGGCTGTGACCTCTTGGAAGTAGATTGCCAGGCCTTTCTTCCAAGGTACCTCTGGGTGGATTCGAACCACCAACCTTTCAGTTAGTAGCTGAGTGCTTAACCGTCTGCACCACCGAAGGGCTCCTTCTTGTTCCGGCCACCTGAGATAGGACACTCTGATCAGAAACAGCACCCTGACTCACGGGAACGTCTCAACAGGGTGGAGGTGAGGTGGAGCTGAGGGACTGGAATCTGAACTTCAGTCTGGACAGAGCAGCCAAACCAGCCTGCCAGGGGCTGCCAGGACGGCAGCGCTCACAGACCCCGGGCTCAGGAAGTGTGGGGTGGCTCCGAGCACGGGCCAGGTTGCTCTGGCATGGGCCAGGTGACTCCTGGGGCCAGTGCCAGCAACCACGACAGGCTGCCGGCTCCAAAGTACAGAGCTGTTAAGGGTACCCAGTCATGGCACTGCTGGTTCCCAAGCTGCAGGAGGGGTCTCAGGGAGTGAAATCATCGGCGTAAAACCGGAAAGAGAAGGGCTGGGGAGCAGCCAAGGGAAGTTGGGTAAGGATGGGGCCACTCCCAGTGCCACCAGAGACTGCCACCAGGGTAGAGCTGGCGTCAGGCCCTAATAGGCGCCCTGGGCGGGCGGTGAGTCTACAGGCCGCCTGAGGCCCAGGTGCAGCCTTTTATGACTGGCTGTGGGGGCAGCAGGTCGGCTCTGAGAAAGCGTGACTCAGGGCTGATCACTGATTGGAGGCTCCTCGCTCAGCAAAAACGAGGCCCAACTCTGCCCCGTCGTCACACTTGGGCCTCAGAACACCGCAAGCTGAAACAACGATGAATCCACACAGTTGGGGCCACAACGAGGCCAAAGCTAAGTTATTGGAGCAGGGATGGCTCGGGCTCAGCAGATGTTAGCTTTGGCCTGGGAACTAGGACATCGCATGGGGAGACTAGGTCACCCTCCCAAACTCCACCCAATGGGCTTCACTCCCTGCTATGGGGGGGGGGCGGGAGGAGGGTGATGGGGACAGAGAGAGGAAGGAGGTGGAGGAAACCCAAGTATCCCTGAACTGTGGCACCAACTCCGTGGCTGCAGGCAGGCCTCATGCCCAAACACCCAGGGCCCGAGGCGAGCCCCACCCCTCAATTACTGGCAAACACCTCAAGTTGATGTCAACAGAACTAAGTCCATTTTCTTTGCAGGGGAATTAAATTTCCTGGTTTGTGTGTGTGTGTGGGTGTGTGGGTGTGTGCGCGTTTTAGTTTGGAAAACATTCACATTTTCGGTGTGAGAGAGACAGGGGTTCACCCACAGGTCACGAAAAGGGTCACAACACTCAGGCAGTGGGTGTCATCACAGGTGTGACCACATGGCTGCACACCACCGCCAGGCCCCCTGCTGCCCTTGCGCCCACTAGGAAGATGTGCATCGCTCAGCCTGAAAGAGGCCATGTTTCAATAGGCACCAAGGGCCGTCCCCCAAAGCTGGCAACACCATGCAGCTGGCAAGGGCAGCAAAACCAGCCCGATGCTTGGCCTGAAGCTCAGCCGCAGGTGACAAGACAGAAAGGAGCCTGTCACTGCCCTCGCCCAACTACACCAGGCCCCACCAGCCCCTGCCCCCCAGCACTGCCTAAGGCCAGGCCCCCCACCAAGCCTTCAGGCTTTGGGACACACTAGAGGGCGGAGTCAGGACAGAGTTAGTGCAGCCACCTGAATCAGCCATCGAGAGATGCCCCCCGCCGCACAACCAGCAATTCCGCAGCAAAAGCAGGAAGTTGTGGTGGGCCTGGTGAGATAGAAACTGTGGTGTCCACTGAGGAGAGGGCACTGGGCTATGTTAGGTCAGGCCCGGCAGGCCTGAAGGAGGACATCTGCTATCTCAACACGGTTGAGGGCTGGGGAGCTGGGAAGAAAAGGCTGGCCTGTGGGGTGAAGCCCTTGGGCTAGGTGAAGCCAGAGCCACCTCTGAGCAGGGAACCTGAGTTGCCAGGAAAAGCTCTGGCTCAAAACGTCCTGGGCTGCTGCAGCAGGGAGAAAGAAAACAGTTGCTCTAGGCAACCAGGCCAAGTCAGCTGTGTTCTGCCCCAGGGAAGTATTTACACAGGCTTTTTGGATGGAAGGCTGAAGCCTACCTCCCGTCTTGGCTCGGTTCCCTCGCACCTCCTCCAGGCTTCTACGCTCTTAGCGGCCCCTAACTCTCCCCAGGTGTTGGCTGGCCTCCTGCAGCTCTGCCTTCCTGACCAGGATCTGACCGTGCTTCCCGCTCCCCCAGCAGAGAGGTGAAAGAGGAGCTGTTTGGAGGGGTCTTCGCCCTACCCCACTGCACTCTCCAAAACACAGGTAGTTCCAGCAGCTGGGGGAAAAGCTGCCTCATACATTCCAAAAGTTTCTAGAACATGGAACAATAGAGGATTTGTCTCCAATCGACTTTTGCTTCCTGCCATTCAAGCTGTGTGGGCCTTAGTATTTGCTGCCATTCCTCTCCATCACGTGTGTTTTCAACTCACGGCGGCCCAGGAGAAAGGCGAGCAGAAGAGCAAAATGGAGATGGAGGAACTTAAGCGTCCACACCGTGAGGCCTTGTTCCTGAGCTTTACACAAGGCCTCTTCCAGAACAGCACAGTAAAGAAAGGGGCGTCCCACTATAGGGCTGCGATGAGTCAGAATCGACTCGAAGGCAATAGGTCTGGTTTTTTGGTTTTTACTCTTAGGTGTTACCTGGGAGAAAGACCACAGGTCCA